CTACGATCTAAAGGCCGACAAGTGTCTCCCCAGTAGAGATGAACAATCGAAGCCCACTTCCTCAAGATCACCCTGTATAGACCTCCTGCGGAAAGACACACAGCTTCATTGCACGAGTTCTGCGGACTTGCTGGCAAATCGACAACTCCACGGCATCTGTGCAACTTCTGGCTCGCAGGTAGTTTCTTCACATCAGCTAGCGCTAAATGCCAACGTGTCACAGGGGAGGGGGGAGGGGCTTAGAACCCCGAGTGTAAATTCGTGGCTTTGGTGAGTAATTTACGACGACCTCTTGCACCAATTCCGCGTTGCTGGTCAGTTTGAGCAGCGCCAAAGAGCACATCTTCCTTGCAAAATAGGCTGCTTCTGACAGCTTGTTTTCGAAAAAGGATCCCAGGAAAACAAGAATGACTCGCGAGTGTAGAAAAGTAGACTCATTCTCTAAAACGAGCATAGGACCGCCCTATGACTCTGCAGCCAACATGCACGGTAATCGGTGGTCTAAGTAATTGTCTTGTAGCCAGAAAAGTTGATACTGTAAAGAGCCAGGTGTCTTCTGCCACTTTGCCTCGTACTTTTACGTGAAGAATATGGTGCCTATCTGTGAATGCGACCCTTTTTTGTATTAAATGCGCAGAGGCATTTCATTTAATGGCGAGACTTGTGCTCAAGCACAGCGACGAAGGCCTAACAGAATACGTTGTTCTGATCCCAGCGCATAATGAATTTGAACTTACATAGGGGATAATTGATGAATTCTTCTCTAAATAAGCTTTTGGAGATCCTAGAGTGAAATTTCTGTAGATATTCTGCCATTCTGAGACTACTCAGGAGCCTACAAATTTGTTTGTTACTATCAATACTTGTTCGAGTGATCCTCCACTTTTCAGCAGAGCTTTTACGCCGAATTGTTGCGAGATAACTCACCGTTCGACGATGCGCCAAGTGTGGAACGCTATCTTTCAAAGTTGGCAGAGTTGAATCAGCTGCAGAGTAAAATATTTGGAGTTCGAGTAAGTGCTTACCCATTTGACTGAAATGGGTACGGTAGAACGGCTTGCAGAGATTGAGACAGGGCATATGGTTGTTGAAGATACCCCAACAGGGAAGAGGTCGTATTTCCCTTCATATTTCCCTTCTCCGGGTATCGACCGAAATTTCGAGCTAATGATGTGCTGTGGCTCGAAAAAAACCGACTCAGCTTTCTATACTGGGAGGAGGTGGCCGATGTCCCGAGCGACCCTAAAATGCTTGGAATTTTCCCAAAAGAATACTTCGGAAAAGTCAATTTCAGGATTAGACAGGGACCGCCATAACATAAATGCCGTGTTATGAGCAAAAGTCTCAACCCCAGGCAAGACTCTGACCCTATCCTCACCTCATCGGGCGAGTGCCCTATCCATTACGCGGAACGGATAGCGCATTCCCCGGTAAGCGCCGCTTCGAGTGAAGACTTTCGTCCATACCTCAGCACTGTGGTAACTTTCGGAGCGCTAAGTGCAACATTAAACACCATTGCCATAGCTAATCATCTTCGAAAACAGAAGTATTTAAAACTCTCAAATTTTGAAAGTCTCTATCATCAGGACGTCCCACACCCAATATCGTTGAAACGATAAATAAAATTTATTTACCAGTGTGTTTTCCCATAACCTCGAATACACTTGTTTGCTCGGAAAAACCAACTTCCAAATACCCTTCTAAAGATATTTTTCCTCCTTGTCCTCAAAATGTGCGTTACTTGCCGCGTTCAGTTCGTCATCGTCAGAAAAACGCTTTCCTCGAAGATCTTTTCTTAGGTTGGGGAGCGAGAAGTAATCTTATCATTTTCTTGATTTCCTTTGCATTTTCGATTTTCTTTTCTTCTTCTCGATTTTTTAAATCAGTCATCATTTTCTCAACATTGTCGCCTCAGCCATTTTTATTTTTGCTTTCCTTCACCAAGAGTCACTAGAATAGCCTTGATTATAATAAATGAAATTTTGTATTTATGCCCTTAGGGAGCCGTTACGTATTTAAATGATTTGAACTCCTTCTTCACTTCACTTCAATTATCCCGACACAGAAAATACTTTTGACGGCCCTCGTACCAATAATAGGAGTGTGAAGAGGTCAACCATTGATCGTCAACCGTGATTCGTATGGAATTTTGAAAATTACGTGCGGGTTTATTGATTGAACAACGATCACTTTCTTCCTACATAACTATTGTAAATATGTGTGAAGAGTTAAAAGGACATTTACAACAGTTATGTCGACAACAATACAGTTATTTAGGTAACATGGCAACATTTTTTAACAACGAATTTTTTCTTCTTGAAAATAAATTTCGCTCTGAAGATTTTGCTGGTCCTGAGTAATTTGAGTGGGGGATTTTCTGAGGCATACCTAGATTAGAGACTCACAGAAAGGCAGTCTCTTTCTTACCTTCGCGAATGAACTCATTTAGAGGCTCGAAAATCCTTTCAGAATGGGTTTTCTCGTGACAGAAGTGAGAACTGATTTGTTCAATGCGATTGGGCTCTTCCGGACACGCCATGCGTTATGCTTCCACTGAGAGTTGGCGGAGTAGTGTTACTCCTACGAGGTGTCTCTCCTTGCGAGCGGATGTATTAGTTGAGTTCATAAAGATCCATGACCCGCATGAGATCCTCTTCAGCTTGCACTATTTAGCCATCTACCTCCTCACGAATCTGTGTCTACTATTCAATAATGGTAGTTAATTCTTCATTTGCGACGTTTTTCACATACTCAGGGTCTCTACAGCGCAAATTCCGCTACCTACGGAATGCTGACACAATTGCGTTGCTCGCCTGCTGAAGACTCTCCGCTGAAAACTCCCTCTATTCGGCGGCCAAATACAACCTCCTCCTTTCCTTGGGGAATCCACATCAACCGTGTGCCCGCTTCTAGAAATCACTCTAGTGTGTCAAGTTTACTCTAATATATGCTCAAAACGCATGAGAATTGGGAACAGTCAGAATGACAGCAAAATGTCCGTCGGAGTTCCTACAGTATGTATTCCTAGCCCGTTAAGTTATTAAGCTCGTTCTCTCTTTCCAGCCCACATCTCGCGATGAAATGCCGTTTGAAGAGAAACCTGCCAAACCAGATCAATTACCGTATATGTTTGAGGGAGACATCCTTTTGACGGAAAACCAACTGGAAACCATCCTCCGGTATGACTTTACTGGAACCCAAGTTGTCAGCTAAAGTAACTTGTGACAGTGAGATTTCCTTGCAGCAACACTGAGGATCAACTATGGAACAATGGTGGAAAAGTCTAGACAACGCCGTTCGTTAACATCATATCTCTACGCTCGATGGTCAACACTCCCCATACCGTATTATATCAACACGCAATCTGGAGGTCATTATTAGTAAGATACCCCTCTCAGATCCAGCTAATGCTACATTCATGTTTTGCAGTAAATGAGGCAGCTGTCCTGGCTGGAATTGCACGCTGGGAGGCCGACACATGCCTCACTTTCACGCGACAGTACAGTTTACCCAGAGGAAATGGTTTGGAGTTCTTCCTTGGGAGCGGGTAGGCTATTATGTTCAGAACTTGCCTGCTTTGCTTTCAAATGAAGGGAACTGTTTCCAAACAAATGCGTCATACCTGCTTTACATTCCGCTGTAGTACTTTTGTTGCAAATCTCGCAGAAATTTAGGAAAATCGCTCGGATGCAGTTCCAGAGTGGAACAGCCCGAGTATATTTTTGTCCTGACTAGTGGCGGGCCTTACCACACTTGTGTACACGTTGTTCTCCATAAGGGCAATGATGGGTTCTTTGGGCATTCCCATCCATCAGGAAATCGTGTAGACAAACAAATCTGCTCACCGACCTTTGAAAACTCGTGGTCGGTTCAGATCGATCGTGTCGGAAGAGGGCCGGTAAGAAGGGGGTGGGGGAGAGGGAGATGGTAGTGGGGGAAAAGACATCAGTGAACCAGGAGACTACTGTCCTCACCTCCCTGACTTTCGTTTTAGAGGGCTAAAAAGGAGGGGCACCAGTGAGTGTTTTCTGCCTCCGACTACACGATCTTGCGTGAAGCTGACCCCTCGTGGGATTTGCCTGGTCATTGATTTCTATGAGAGGCTTTTCATTTATGAATACTTCTTGTGAGTCAAGACCCAAGCATCATTTGAAACATCCACAAGCACTTAATAAATTCAGAAATACAGCGATTTTAGAAGTGACATCGAACACTGTGGCATTTTTCAATATTACTGATAACCTTCAGATGCTATTCAATGATTGGACGCGTTGGCTCGTCGTCTCAGCAGATCTCTATCGGGTACGGTTGCACGTCGCTGGGCACCGTAACTCACGAAATCGGTAAGATCATTGTCTTATGGGTTCGCTACAGAACACTGCTGACGACTCTATCGCTATCCGGAAATCTGTTCATAGCATCGCCCGCTATCCAGCTAGTAATCCTGAGACTGGTTGAATCAACGCAGCTCTTCTGCGTCAAATTAATGATCTTATAAAATTTTAGGCCCTTTATCATTTATTCGACCCCTTCTCTCTATATGAACTGCCATTAAGCACTTAAAGGCAAATCCTGCGATCACATGATGGGTAATGAAGCTCAAACACAAATAACAGGTCGCTGTGTTAATGAAGAGTTAAGAAAAAAAAAGGCGAAAACATGTCAAATACCCCATATAAGACCCCGCAAACCCCAGCTTGTATGTGTATACGACGAAAAAAGGCGTTTCAGACGTGTTTTCACTGTATCGTTCAGCTTTGGGAGAGCTTGTAGAGGGGCCACTAGCTAGTAATCAGTAGTCACTGGGACTGGTAACAAACATAAGGGATGCTCAGGGGCCTAACTGCTCAACTTCCACCGAACTCTTTGCAAATTTTCACTTTTTGAATGTACTACAGCCTCTACCAATGCCTAGGGAATCACATGAGACATTCGAGATGTTACAGTCCTAGTCCATCGCGAAACATGCCTTTAAAGGCGTGAGGCACGATAATTTGGTACTTGGTCTGAATTGGTAGCAGGGGTGCTATACAATGGAAAAATGGCGAAAAAGCGAGGTGAATTGGTGAAACCTGCAGAAAAAGGCCCCTGCTCTACACAACACATGAGGCAATTCTAGACAAGTTTCCGTTAGCATCGTGGCTATACCGCTACGGTAGATGGAGTACTCATGAGCCATGAAGCACCAGCAGCCGCTTATATCCCTCCCTTCGCTTCGTATTGCACTTCGCAACTGAAGCGATATGAGCAGCAGGTACGGTCGCCCATTTGTGGGTGGGCAGCGCAGTGTGCTTCCGGGTCGGCCGTGCAGTTTGATAGGGCGCTATACGGTACCTTTCTTGAAAAAGGCGCCACGCAACTCCTTCTCAGTGGCGCCGAAAACTATCCTGCTAGACCTAATCCCTCGGGGGATTAATCCTAAACGTCTAAGGAATCGATCGTGTCACCTGCCTTTAAGGTAAGTTCGACTGACGCTAGTGCTATGTCGAGTCAACTAACTAGAGATTAGAGGATGGTTTGAGTGCGATGCTGCATCTTGGATTTCTTGTTAGATCTCTGCATCACTGGGACATACAGGTCATGCTCTCGGCTTCTACCACGAACAATCTCGTTATGATCGGGACTCCTATGTGACGATTGTTTCACAGAACATTCAAAACGGCTATTTGAGTCAGTTCACGAAGCAAGCCAAGTAAGTGTCACGTCTACGAATTTCTTCACGTTTCGTCACCATTTTGGCGCATTGGCCATGTTACAGGTCAAGCATGGAAGATTACGGTGTTGGTTATGATGTCGGATCCGTTATGCACTACGATCAGTTTGTGAGTGCGCTTGAAAATTTGATTTTCAACTTTGATTTTTCGTTTATTGCAAGTTCTTAACTAGATTGATCGCGCTCATTTGATCGAATGAATCCCAGAGTTTCTCTCAAAATGGTGGGCAAAGCATTCGAACAGTCGACACAAATTATCAGCAAACAATTGGACAACGAGAAGCGCCATCATTCATGGACGTCAAACGCATCAATCTTGCTTACTGCAATAGTAAGTGGTTCGAGTAAAGTGTACAGGGTTCAATATATTCGGCTACCTTCCTGTGAGAGGCACTCAAAACGTTCATTTGAAGGAACTAGGGTCACTGTCAAATTAGAGGAGCAACTTTGCGACAATTCAAACATGTTGTTCTAAGAAACGTATTCCAAACTTTTCCGCATATAACTACCGGAGGCGCAAGTGTTCTCGTTTGTCGACGGGGGGTGGAGGGGGCATTTTGCTTTCCATAGATGTGTCGACCCATCTAGGCAGCCGTTTCTCGAGTTGACACGTTTTAGGATAGTGGCTAGACGATCTTACTTCAGCTTCACAAGAGTGCACAAGTTTTACCAGAGTGAGATTTGTAAGCCGGAACTAGGGAAGCAATGATAATAGAAAATGCCCCCCCCCTCGTCGACAAACAGCGCCCTACTGGAGAGTGTCTCTGAGGTTTGTGCAGACGGGTGCCGCACAAATTTGCTTGAGCTTTCAAAATTTGCAAGTCTGCAGAAGTTTTCGATCTACTGTAAATGAGTTCTGTGAAGCCGTTCCGTCGCAGTTTTGGGAGTCAGCATCTGAGCTTGTGTTATAGAAGAGGTAGTGAGTCGCCACCACAGTGTCATTTACAGCTAGCAGACTTGTTAGGCTATTTAATCAGAATAGCTCAGCTTTTTTGGCCAACCATTGCCAAAGGAACGGATGAAGTTTGCGCAGCACCCTTGGGCTTGTGAAACGAGGACTCCGGTAAAAAACCCACCGTAAGTTCCGGTACCAAGGGTACCGAGGACTTACAACTAGACGACTGAACGGTCTCTAACAGTAATATCCTACGAAGCTACGAAGTGGTACAAGTAAGCCACGTCGTTACAGGAATTCACAATTCCCGACCGAGTGTTATCCTGTGCAAGCTTCGATGGGTATCATTTGGTACCCTACCAAGCCAGATTGCGCCAGACGGTCCTTTCAACAGCAAGAGGAGTAAAATAAGTACTTCATAGGCGAGTACAACCTACCAGATTTCCACTTTCGGTCCTTCGGCAACCGCCGTGTCTCCTTTTCCAACACGTGTATCACCCCGAATGCGCTGCACTGCACCTTCCCTCTCGTTCTGTTACCTAGTGGGCTGGCTGATAAGATACTAATTAGGCGTATTATATCCAACTATAGGTTCAATGAAAACGTTGTGATTCTTATGGTAACTGGAAATAACGTCATATCATAATATAGTGTTGGTAAGATGTAGTGTGATCCATTAATGAGTTTTACCCTCCGAAAACTCAAGCGCAGTCGTAATGAGCCTGTTTGCAGGAACTTCCAGGAAAACTGCAATAACCAAGGGCCGAAATTTTCGAAAGTCTTTCGACTCGTTTTCTGGTTTCTTTTTTCGTTTCTAATGCAACAGACTTTCTGATGATTCATAAAAGGGATATGTTACCGAGAAGAGTTCTAAGTTCCTCCAATTACCTTTCTTCTGGTACATAGCGAACGAAAGAGCATTATTGTGTGTCTATAAGGCTGCGCTCATACTTTACGGCAGCGCCCACCAGCCTCTACCAGGTTCACCAGACCATTAGAGTTTCGAGCGCCTGGAAACGTCAGCGACTAGAAAATTATAGATATAGATCTAGCGTCTGCCAGCGTCTGCCAGCGTCTACCAGCGTTCACCAGCGAGGGGGACAGGAAGTATGGAGGTGTAGGAGGGTGGCAAACAGGTGGATTAGGCATTGAAATTGCGGTGTGTGCTACCTCACAATACAACCTAAACTACATCGTTACACTGCATATTTCTGTGAAATAGCAGTCTTGCGGTGCGCTGCAATTTCAGCTGTTTGCTACTTGCTACTTCCCCATACTTTCCACTCACAGTCGCTAGTAAACGCTGGTGGACGCTGGTAGACGCTGGTAAACGCTAGATCGATATGTATGCTTTTTTTAGTCGCTGACACTGCCGGATGCTCGGAACGCTAGTGGACACTAGTAGACCCTGGTGGACGCTGCTGCAAAGTGTGAGCGCAGCCAGTAAGTTTGGTTAAAGCGCTTTATATTAAAGGTTCGTGCTCATCTACCTCTACCGTGTTTATACGGAGGGTACACTGATCCTAAGAACTGCGCCGTATGTCGATGCCCGACGGGATTTCGGTGGAGCACTATGTGAACGTGCCGCTGTCAATCCGGTAGCGTGTGGTAGTGGTGATCTCGTGGCCACTTCCTCACTTCAGTCGATTTCGGTCAGCAACGCAGCAACGTGCTCTTACGTTATCAAGGTATAACCTCTTCTTTATATTTGTTGGACGCTTTGTCCGATTTCGACATTCATGGACGCTTGGTCCAATTTCGACATTCAGGCCCCAGCTGGACGACGTGTTTACTATGAAGTGCCGACGTTCAGATTTTCTAACTCAAATCTCTGCAGTTATAACTTCCTGGAGATCAAATATGTTGCCGATCTTCAACGAGTTGGTGCGAGGTATGAGGAATTAGCGTACAAACGAGATAGCAGCTCAAAGCTCGGGGTTTCAAGTTCAATATGCTACCAGCCCCACCTCCCCCCCTCCCCCTTCGACATCTTCTAATGCTTCCGAGGTCGTGTCGAGAAGCGTACCACCTCGACCATGACAGTCCCACATTGAAAACCCCAGCTTGCCGGAGATCCCATCAACGGAGCGGAGCATTGGGTCATTTGCTGTATAAGTCGAAATAGGAATCTTTGAAATTCTCGAATATAGTGTAGGTCAGATGTATGTATTGCATTTCAGACTTATATTGGGTCAGAAACGGGGACTGAACTCAATATATTA